CGAACCCTCACTGAAAACTGAAGGATGATTCATCAAAACAACCCTTTTCACTTCTTTCTAGGCAAGTAAACAATAATTTCAAAGCCTGGAGCACCTCAGAGAAGTTCCTGCACTCCTGGTCCAGCTGTCTGCATGGTCTGGCACTGAGCTGAGCAGATTTACCAAAGGCACTTCATCAAATGCCATCAGACACACAAACAATTGGATCCGGGCCTTTTGATGAGGTGTTTGTAATGAAAGCACAATTGCTGCCCAAAAGTCAGGATTTAGGGCCCTGATTTTGCCACCTGTCAGCTCAGAAACAGCTGAGCAGCTGTGGATTGCCTGGAGCTCTCCCTAGGGACCCTCTGGTGCTAATGAGTATAATTAAAAACACAGAAAGCACAGGATCTGGTTTGTGGGTGCTACCAGGGCACAGTCAGGGGCAAACCTTACTCAGAAGGATTAAAATCCAAATGAACAAGAGAAAGGAGACAAAAGCATTATTTGCTCCATGTCAAAGATAAAGACACACCCAGAAATGGACTTGCCAAAGATCAAAGATGGAAAAGGAGCTCACCCAGGGTTTTGTTCCTTCCTTACATGACTCAGAGCTCTGCCTCTGTCTAGAAAATCATTGTGGGTGGGACAAGACTTTGAGAATTAGCTGATTTTAAATGTCCTTTCCAACCCAAACCATTCAGTGAACACCAGGGCACAGTTCATCCTTCCTCAGCAGAGGATGAAAGCTGAGTAAAACGCTGTGGTGGATCCTTGCCCAACATGTCCTTACAAAATTCCAGTGGTGGACAGTCAGAACCCCCAGGGACAGGCTTCCACCTGTCTTTAGAGGTGCAAGGTTTGAGGTTAAACAGCTCCTCTCGTTGTTTTCTATCCCTCTCACTGCTTTCTCCCAAATTCTGATTAATCCCGGATTTTAAACTGGGCACAGACAATCCCAGCATGTCTTGCCAGAGCCCAGCACAAGGATTGCTCCAGCGAGGTTGATGTGACACTGCTCCTGCCCTGTCCATCCCTGCCTGGGGACACTCTGGGTTTAATGACCCTCCTGACCTCAGGCTCTTGGTGGTCTCCACATATACGAGTTCTTCACTGCCAGAAATTCAACCATAAATTCACCACCACAAATTCAAAATAAATTCATTTTCCTTTGAGGGTTTTAGGACAAGATCTGCTGTCACTTCCTTCTGCTTCCTTCCACTCTGGAGAGATGTCCCCTAACAAGGGTATTACTCACAGACGAGTGAAATATTGAGTATATTCATGACTAAAGCCATGAATAGAAATGTATTTCTTTCTGTGGTGCATTTAAGAGCCTGGAACAAGCCACCAGCATGGTAAAGTCTGTCCCAATAGAAACAAAACCCAGAGTGGGGCTCAGCTCCTCTCCCTCCAGTCATTCAGACTCATTTCCCAATGGATCAATGGAAACTGAGTTGCCTCATCTGAAGATGGGCATCTAAAATAAACCTGCTGAATCACAGCCTTTAAGGGGCTTTGGTAACTCAAGATTCCCTTCATCCATTTAGGGTTTGCTCTCTCCCAGCACCCTTTGTTACTCAGGGTAACAAAACAGCCTCCAAAAACCAGTGTAACACCTTCTGTACCTGTACAGCAGAACAGGGACTGCACGTGCCAAGAAAACTGTGGGGAAACAGCAGCTGAGCATTTAAAAACCACCTCGTTTTTGCAGTGTGCAAGTTCCTCAAAATTAGTTTGAATGCTTTTTCTTTTTTTTTTTTTTTTCCCTCACTTTGCCATTTATTCTCATGGGTTTTTTTTTTACTCTCACACAGACAGCAAATGCTGGTGTAGCTGGAGCTGCCACAAGGGTCACTCCACTGTCCCAAATTCTTTGCCCAACCTGCACAAATTGCACATTCCTGGGAGCTGCTTTTACAATTTTTCCTTTTCTATTTTTCCCAGTAGCAATGGCTCTCCCATTAGCAAGCAGGCACTGTGAATTTGTTGGACCAGTGATCAGGGCTGCTGACAAGCCCAGATCTGCTTTCAGTCCTCTCCTGGGGAGAGCATCACTCACATTTGCCTCTGGCTGTGAAACTCTTGAACCCAAAAACCCAAATTTCCCTCTCAAAGTTGGTGCCCAGGAGGAGGAGGTGGAGAGTCTGTCATCAAGAGCAGGCACATGGTTTATCTGTTTCCTTGTGGCAACAGGGTTTGCTGGCCTTTGGCTCTGAAATCCCACTCTGTGTTCACTTCAGGGCATCACTTTTGTGTCTGTTCTTCATCAGGGACTTTGGGCACTTTCTTTTTTTAAATTGCAATTAAGAGCCAGGTGAAAAATCAACCTGCCTTCAACAGCACGTTCTGCTGGAGGAATTTTCTCCTTGAACCCCATCTCGAGTCAGCTGTGCTTTGATCCACCATGCAGAATCCCCGGGCAGTGTGTCCTGCCTTCATCTCCTTGTTCCGTTTGTCCTGCAGGAAATTCTCTTTTTAGATCCCAAAAACTTCGTGCTATCTTATAAACAGGAGTTTGTTATCCTGCCTTCCACTCTCTGGTCTCTGCAGGGAGTTTGAGAGGGAAGGAAAGGAAAAGGAAA